AATAATAATAATAATAATAATAATAATATATTCAATTATTCTTTATTTATATGTACTTACTTTTATAATTAACATCTACTTATTTCTATTTAAAATTATAATTTAAATTATTTAATTTTATAATTTATAATGATAATATAATTTATAAAATTATAAATATTTATTTATTACATACTTATAAATTAAATTTTAAAATTTTAAATAAATTATTAAATAATTAAGTATATTTATTTATCTTAAATAAAAGATGTAAAATTCAAAAAATGTATTTATTCTTGTTTTATTTTCTAATTATCAACTATTAATAAAATACAAACTTAAAATCTTATCTAATTATATCATAATATTTTCACATCAAATTTAAAATCAGATATTAGTTATACAAAAATATTAAGATCATATAGTAAATTGTCAATAAGATTTTAGTTAAATAATTTAAAATAATTAATGTTTTAATTATATTGTTAATTAGAAAATAATTTATCAAAGCCAATTAATTATTTTTTCTATATTAATTATATTAGTAAAATTTAATAACTTTTAATTTAACAATTGGATTGATGAAATTCAACTTATGTCATGAATTATTGAGCGGAATAACTTTATCAAGAGTTATTTCTTAAATTATTTGATTCCTCCACTCTCTCTTGTTCCCTCTCTCTATCTCTCTCTCTCTCTCAAAGAGAGAGAGGAGGGTTATACGAACACTGGTATAACTTTTACTAAGTATTACACATTGCTCAATAACTTTATATTAAATGTGAATTTTATAAATCCAACAGTTGGATTACTATAAAAATATAATAATATATAATAATTGTATTACGAATAATAATAATAATATATTTAATTAATCTTTATTTATATATACTTACTTTTATAATTAACAATCTACTTCTTTCTATTTAAAATTATAATTTAAATTATTTATTTTTATAATTTATAATGATAATATAATTTATAAAATTATAAATATTTATTTATTACATACTTTTAAATTAAATTTTAACATTTTAAATATATTATTAAATAATTTAATTTATTTATTTATCTTAAATCAAAGATATAAAATTAAAAAAATGTATTTATCTTTGTTTTATTTTCTAATTATCAACCATTAATATATTACTAACTTAAAATCTTATCTAATTATATCATAATATTTTCACATCAAATTTAAAACCAGATATTAGTTATACAAAAATATTAAGATCATATAGTAAATTGTCAATAAGATTTTAGTTAAATAATTTAAAATAATTAATGTTTCAATTATATTGTTAATTAGCAAATAATTTATTCCAAAACTAATTAATTTTTTTATATTAATTATTAGTAAAATTTAATAACTTTTAAATTAACAATTAATTGGATCGATGAAATTCAACACACACCATGAGTTATTGAGCGGAATAACTTTACCAAGAGTTATTTTGTAAGTTATCTTAAATCAAACATATAAAATTAAAAAAATGTATTTATCCTTGTTTTATTTTCTAATTATCAACTATTAATAAAATACTAACTTAAAATCTTATCTAATTATATATAATATTCTCATATCAAATTTAAAACCAGATATTAGTTATACAAAAATATTAAGATCATATAGTAAATTGTCAATAAGATTTTAGTTAAATAATTTAAAATAATTAATGTTTCAATTATATTGTTAATTAACAAATAATTTATTCCAAAGCTAATTAAATTTTTAGTAAAATGTAATAACTTTTAATTTAACAATTAATTGGATCGATGAAATTCAACACACACCATGAGTTATTGAGCAGAATAACTTTACGAAGAGTTATTTTGTAAGTTATTTGATTCCTCCACTCTCTCTCTCTCTCTATATATATAGATAGAGAGAGAGAGAGGAGGGTTATACTAATACCGATGTAACTTTTACTAAGTATTACACATCGCTCAATAACTTTATATTAAATGTGAATTTTGTAAATCCAACCATTAGATTAAAAGTTCATATCACTTTATATATTTATATCAAATTTTGTTAAATTTGAACAACAACGTAAAGATAATCAAAATGTTCATATTTTAGTATATTTTGAAATGTATATATTACATTAATTTTGTTTTATAAGAATGAAGTATCAAATCATCTTGGATTAATATAAAATTTTGTATATATGATTTAAGAGTAAAGAATTTTCAATTTAACGATTGAATTTACAAAATTCTCATTTAATATAAAGTTATTGAGCGGTATAATATTTAGTAAAAGTTATACCGATATTATTATAACCCTCATCATATATATATATATATATATATATAGTTTTATGGACCTTTATTTTTATATGATTGTCAATTTTCGTAATTTTTTTTTACATTTTTGACAAATATAAATTTGTCGAACATATTCCATCAGTAATATAATTTTTCTTATGAATTTTTTTTCCATAAAAAATATAAAATTTTCGATGGATTAATTTGTCATAATTTAAAAA